GCTCGGCTAGGCTGGGCTCGACTCGGCTGCGCTCGGCTCGACTCGACGACGTCATCGCGCCGGTTCTCGCGAGATCTCGTACTTCTAGATCGAAATCGGTTCGCGCGGTTTCCGGTTTCAAGCTCGCGAATTCTCGCCATTTGATTCTATCGTCTCGTTTGCCAGAGAACTCGATGCGAAGCGCATCGTCGGATAAGTCGTATACCTTTCTGAGCTCGCGTTTTCCATAGAAAGAACGAAATTTTCCACGGATGGAATAATCCGCAGAGGACTATCGAACAGATCGACGCGTATTTGGTTCTATCGGTTCGTTGCAAAGTACTGGGAGTAAAGTTTACGATTCGTACTAGAAAATGCTGAAAGACTTATCCGACGATCGAATAAAAATGAGTGCGACAGGTACGAGAAAGAGGAGAAGCGTGGAAGCGAGCGGCAGAGAATACGGCTCGATTCGAAAATCGGTAGTAACTAGGTAGCCAAGGAGGCACGTACCCCTACTCCGAGAGGAAGGTTGCGACCAGTTGGCCGGCTCTCGCTCGGAACAGGTGGGCTCGAGTCGAGAGAGTCTCGGCCTGCCGCTTACCGCGCACGGATCGAGTTTGTCGTTCGACCGGTCTCTCGAGTTCTCGTTTTCGGCCACGAAAAAGTTCGACTAAACTAGCCGAAATATGCGTATATAAACGAGTCGGTAACAGGGTCGTTAAATCAGCCGGTGGTTTACCAGTTTCGTTCTAGTTCGCGCTCATCGCCAACTCGAACAAGAGCGCGTAGTGCGCGTTCGAAATCGCCGCGTTCCATTATCGTTCGTCGACACGAGTACGCGCGAGAACATCGACCGCGCCGAGTCAGGAATTCTCTCGACGAATTCTCTCGTCCTCTCGGCGCGACCTCTCGGCTCCACGCGTACGGCTTCGCGCTGCCAAACATTCGCGGTGCCGCGAATGATACGAATCGACGATCGAATCAGCGGATAAATAATCGGCTCGCTTCCGATCCTGCGGAACCGCGACGAGATCTCTTGCCGCGGAACGAGCAACGATCGCCGACCCGATTTTGCATGGGTGTACACGTAAGTGAATCAGAACAAGTTCGAGACCGACCGAGCCCGATGACAGAGCTCGTGAACGATCCTTACGATTATCACCCTTCACCGATCGATATCAATGACGACGACAACGACGACGACGACGACGACGACAACGACGACTACGACGACAACGACGATGACGACGTGCTTCGATCCTGGCTAGTACTAGTCACGCAAATCTTCGACGTGAAAGGAAAACGCGCTAAAAAGGTTACTTGAAACGATACAACTATAATAGATTCCACGATTACAATTACAATTCGCCTCGGTGAGGCTCGATTCCACGCAGTCGTCCAAGAACATGGTACCGTATCCGCGTTTCGTTTACTCGGTCGTAAAACGAGAAACGACGCGATTCGCGATCGCCTCCGCTTTCCATATGGGTCGATCGTTTGGAAGAACGATAACGGTGAAACGGTTGTTCCATCGTGAACCATCGTCGTCCATTTCGAATCAGTCGAGAACGATACGATAACGAACGAGAATGAAACGTTCGTCTCGCGAATCGTTGCGCGATTCCTCTAGCCATGTGTCACGCGAGTCCCTCGCTCATCCGCCGTGTCGTCCATCGTCCATCGTTCATTGTCCATCGTCCATTGTCCACCGTCCATCGTTCGTCGTCCTTCACCCGGTTATGCAGCTAGCATGTCGCGGTTCCGTAGCAAGCGCTACGAAACGAACGCCATCGGAAAACTCGAACGAAAGAAAGGAAAGACGATCGCCACGGTATCGTGTTCGTCCGAGCGATTCTGTACCCTCGATGCAACGTCTGTAACAGCGCGAAAGGCACGGACGCTGCTTGGAAAAGGGTAACTCGGGCGTATCGGTTCGAGGATCGAAACGCGTTTTCTCCGCGTACGCGATCACCGAACGAAAGAGAACGGCCACGATCAAGCGCTTGTTTTCCCTCGTGTCTTTCTTTCCAATGCTCGGTCGCTATCGAATGCGATTTTACGCTTCATACACGAACGATGGAATATCTTACTGTGAATGTGTACTTTTGCGATGTTTAGCTGCGGGCAGTGGAAACATTCAGATAACTTTTAACGTTTTACGTGACTTTTAGCGGCGTCTAGCGTACTCGGCGAAATCAGTAAAAAAGCCCGCATGTACGTTTCACGCGTTGATTGCCGCGCGAATTTTATGTTTCGCCTTGGCAAATATACAGGGGTTGGTCAAAATAATGGAAACACCTTTTGTACGTCGTATATGTATACACATACGTATGTGTAATGCGTGTTATAACATACGTTTACGTTTCCATTATTTTCTCCAACTGTTACTCTGCACGCTAAAGTTTAATTTTCGCAAAATATAATATCGTATTTGGGCAAGATTTGTTCTGACGATTCATCTGAATAGTTCGAGTCGTTGAATATTTTCTAGTTCTTATCCAAAATTTATCTTATTCTAATCGTTCAAAAAATTTGATAATCCGGTTCATCGATGACAACCGCGGTTGTCGACCCAACGTCGCTCAACGTGTATTAAGTATGTGGTTACAGTGGATGCATACTCGGACGAATTAACGTCCAGACCAACACGGTACATCGAAATAATGAAATACATATACGGATTCTTACGAGCGTACGTATCTCGATCTTTCGATGTTTCGTTCGCCAGAACTCCATTTCAATACGCATTCGCCGTAACCATAACGTAAAATACTGGGCGTACGAAGAGCCAAAACAATTGGCGCAATTTGCAAAATGTTCGATGATTCTACGCCGAAGCTTCGGGACGGTGTATGGGCGAATCGCGGCGCGGTGCGGCGAGTGCGCTTACGAAATGGTATGTAACGCGCGCGAACGTCCGCAACTCGTGCATGCTCGTAACCCTCGCGCAATCGCGATTACATTCGCCGTTTTATCGACTCGTTTATCTGAACGACCAGTGGCGGCAATCGCGTCGTTTAAATCCTTTCTTCCGCGTAGAAAGTTACCGCGTAGGAAACCTGTTAGCCCGATCGTTCGATCCGCGAAACTGTGTTGGCTCTTCGCGTCCTATCTGCCTGTCGATCGACTATCGTCGTGCCGAGAATAAACGAAAGGAATTTAAAGAAGAAACGGGACGTTCCGTAGGAGAGAAGCGAGGCCCACCGTACCGATGTCACCGGCAGAATGGCCAGGGATCGTTCCGGTTCAGAGTATTCGGAGAACATGAGCGACGCCACGACTTGCAGCTGCACGACGAGCTCCGCTGACAAGGCTAGTAGCGCATGTTAGAGTAAAATCTCGTTTGTAAGGGGTAGCGGTAAGTCGCGATAAATCGGATCGGTCGCGCGCGATTGGCGCGTGATCGATCGGATTCGGAAGAACGATACGGGCTACAGCCGTGGCTCGATTCGGCTCGGCTCGGCACGGCTCGGCTCGGCTTGAAACAGCGCGAACCACTCTTCCGGAAGAGAGTACGAGAGGTATGCGAGACGGCAGCGTCCGATAATGGGAACGACGGTGGTGGTGTTTTCAGTGTTCGTTGCGCGGCTGCGGTATGTTTCAAGAGCCGTTTTTCCTACATCCACCTGGCTCGCGACCA